TGTTCGAGTATCATCTTGTTTCTAAAATATAACAAACGCGGCTCGTAAATATTAATAAAAATCAAACATGACTAGAACTCTGGACTATAATTTTAGTTAAAAAAGAAAGAAAGAAAAAAGAAAGAATTTTTCAGAGGTGAGGACCGAACCTTGAAACTCTGGTTTAAGGGTCCCTTGGGATTGCTAAACTTCGACGTGACCGTGGCCTGGACACGGTAATGAAAATAATCAACTGGTTAAAGACAAACGAATAACAGTACTGTTTCCTTATTTCCTCTAAACTGGTGTTTTCCTTTTTTCCCAGATATGGAATTGTACTCGAAAAAACTCAAGAAAACCATACTAAAGCAAACAGAACTTGAACTACAGCCAAAAGGAATAATACAATCAATGAAAACTGATGATATTTTTACGAACTTGATTGTTCACCATGGGAAAAAAAGATGCCCAGAACTTTTGCCACAACAAATTCAAAGACCTCATGGATATCACCCTGATCGTAAGACGCTGACTGAAATCAAGCAATGTAGTGAGATTTTTGTTGACGAGGACGAAAAAGACACTACCGTCAAGAGAATATTACTTTCAGGTGAACCAGGCGTAGGGAAAACACTGTTCTCGCAGAAACTTCTTCGTGATTTGTCTACCAATTCCATATCGCTCCCTGAAATTAAGTTTACTTACCTCATAACGTTTAGACAATTGAACAATTTTTCCAACGAAGAAACGTTGAACCTCAGAGAACTGCTAAATCTTTGCCCTTTATTGAACGATGGAACCATGATAGACGAGAATGTGATGGACTACATTCTTCAGCATCAAGAGCAGTTATTGATTGTTCTGGATGGCTTTGACGAATATAAAGACAGCAACAAAATGCTCGGAGATTTTGAAAGTCAATTTCCTAATGATAGTAAAACCAAGAAGCCAGTAGCAGCTCTTCTAAGCAAACTAATCAGAAAAAAAATCTTGGCCGATGCTGTCATCATGGTTACTTCCAGGCCGACCGAAGCGAACGCTTTAGACAAAGAAATGCACCCTGATCACTATGTCGAAATTACAGGATTCTCAGAATCAGAGGTTATTGCATATGTTAAGAAGTATTTTAGTACAAAACCAGAAGAAGTAAAAAACGTAGCACTTCGTAAGGTTYAAGAAAGCGCGCACTACATTTCATTTGGTCGCGTTCCTTTCCGTTGTTTGTTGATGTGTGTGTTCATCGAGTGGAAAATCAAAAAACACGATAATTTATGTCCTCTCACACTTACAGAGTTTTATTTTCAAGTAATTCAATGTATAGAAGAGAATTACAACAAAGCAATACTTAGCTTAGATGACAAAGCCGCTTCGTTGGCTGTTGACAAAACGCTCGATAATTTTTCAAAGTTGGCGGCTCTTTTAGCCGAACAAAAGAGATTTAGTTTTACCTCACAAGACCTAGAAAACCTAAAATTATCAGAAAATGAATTATTGTACATAAAATCTAGTAATCTTATATTTTGTTATCCTGTTTCAAGTAATAATTCGCCATTTCAAAAGCCAATCTGTGAATATAGCTTCACGCACTTGACCATTCAAGAGTTTTTTGTTGCTCGGTATTTGGTGAAGAAACGCGTAATGGCGGCAGAAGAAAGCTCTGAAATGGTGTACACATTCATGAGCGGTTTGTTAGGTTTAAATGATAATAATGAATTAATGSTAGAACTACTAGAGTGTCTAGGTAAACATATTAAAGATGAAGGTAGACTAAGACTGGTGTCATTGCGATGCCTGCACGAGTTTGGTCAAGACAAACGCTTGACAAGACAAGAACTAAATACAAACCGTGACTACAGATACTGGTATCGTGATGGGGAGATTGTATTACATCATGTAACCGACACGGACTGTGATGCAATCGCTATGTTAGTAGAATCCACTGCTACATCAATATCATCACCACCACACGCATTGTACATTGAATGGTCACGGACTATAACCATTACTGGGATAAAGAGATTGATGTCATCACTCATTATTACAAACTGTTCAATAACTAGACTGGAGCTGGTGTGGAGTTATTTGAATGATGAACATGTAAAGTGTTTGTGTAAAGATTTACAAAAGACAAAAATAACCGAGCTAATCCTGCAGGGTAATGAAATAACTGATGGTGGAGTGTATGACATCATGAAACACTTACACAGTAATCTCACCTATCTAGACCTGTCTTT